CTAGATCCTGTTATTTGAAGTAGGTCTGACAGGTTTGTACGTTTTCATTCAAGCCCACTCGACTGGGGGGAAACCACATAGTTTTCCACTATGAAATGAACATATAACCTATGTTTTACACCTAAATCCTAGTTTGTTAGACTGAGACTTAGACAAACTTTATTGATCCAGAAAGGAAATTATTTGAAGATAGTAGCCCACACATCCCATTATATTATTTATCAACTGTAGCTAACCACTATTAATGTTGAATGTCTTTCTTCAGGTTAAGAAAGTGTTCATGGGAGGCATTTTGGAAACCTATGATACACTGTTACACAGAATGATGGAACAGCTCCCGACCTCAGGCCCCAGTCCTGCTAATGCTAACGCTAACACTGACTCCAATGGCACTGTCAGAAATGACCTGAGCTACATCCTCGGAAAGGTCCAGGCTCTGAAAAACTTACATTACAAGGAGCAAAAGGACCTTCTGGACAGACTGCAGACCCTGCACAACATTACGGTGTGTCCACATTTTTATTAATTATAGTTAAAGGTATGGTATGTAACATCCTGGAGGTTGCATCTCACCTGCATGCTTCCATGGAAATAAAAAGTTAAGCACCATACATACAGAACAAGTTTTATACCATACTGTGGAAAAGTACAGCGAAACAAATAACATTTTCATGGAAACATGCAGATGGAGGCACTCCTTCAAGCCAAATAAAAGTCAGGCTTGTCGAGATGCAAGCCTGCTCACATTTTTTCTGTGCAATAAAATACATTTTTATTTTAGTTTATTTTCTGTGGCTAAAAAGTATACTGTGGCTTTAAGATATTGATATCATCTGTTGGTTCTAATTCTGCACTTCTCAGTTTATTACCTGATGGTTATGTACATGAGCAAGACATTTTTCCACCTTGCTTGAATGTTGAATGTATTGTACAGGTGACGGTGGTGGGCGTAGGAGGCACAGGCAGAAAATGTCTGCCACTTTTCACAGTATGTTGCAGGCCAGCTAGGTTTGCCACCACTACTGTGATCATACTGATTCACCCATGAGAAACAATGTGTGAAACAGTTCATTAGTTAATGTAGTTTCATTAAGTGAAGAAGCACACACTTGTTTCTAAACATGCAATCAAAGAACAGCACAGAATTTCATTTGAGCTGTTAAATATAAACTTGTTTAAAATATTGTTCTTTTCTCTTGTTCCCAGACTGATAATCTCATGGTCCAGAGCAAAGCGTTGGGGGAGCTGCCATGGTTCTATGAAGAGGCCAGCTCTCTGGTGAACAACGACAAGAAGAGACGCAGACGAAGACACACTCAGAGAGCTACAAAACGAGCCAAAGTAAGAAAGGAGTAAATTCAGGATTCCTCCAGCAAAAAGCAACAAAAACACCACTATATTAGAACAAACCCAAGTGCCTACAGATTGTTTCACAGGATATTGTTTTACTATGTCAATAATGAACCAACAATCTATAACAATTTTTAATATTAGATATACTGATGAAATACTGAACCGAGGAAACTGATTTAACCTGAGCTAACCGTGTTTTTTAACTCTGCTATTCACTGATGACTGTGGATGTTTACAGTGCAATAATAAAGCTGAATAGGGATATGAGAAGTGAACTACATGCAGAGGCCTCTCAGTGCAGAAGTTTTTTTTTTTACTGACATGTTGTAATTTTCTATTTTATTTATTTTTTCCTGTATTCCTCAGTTTTTGTTTCTTGTATTTAATTTAATTAATTTATTTTATTTGATATAAGTTGACAAATAAAGAATTATGCCTTACCTGTTCCAGGTAAATAGTTGCTCTACTTTTTTTTTTTTTTATCTTAAAAGCGCTGTATGTTTATTTATTTTTTGTTAATCATTGTGTCATTTGTGTGTTAAGATTACATTTGACGATAACACTGCTCTACCTCATTTCAAACCATCAAAGATCACCTGATAATGATAAAGAAAAATACTTTATTGTTCTTATTAAACACTATGAACTACACTATGTAACTTTTCTGATAGGCGTCTCCATGGAGATACTAATGCTTTGCCTTGAATGTTATATAGTATGGCATTAAAGTTATCTGTCTTGCATTTATTCAATTACAAATGTTCTAATTGCTGAAAAGGATAACCTGAAAAACATCCATTCAGAGAAGCCTCTCCAGAGATCTGATCTGTAACTTGGACTGGTGGCTTAAGCTGCTTTTCTCCATGGAGATAAGTTTAGTATCTATGGAGTATGGAGACAAGCAGGTGCTCTACGCTCTACCAGAAAAGTTACATTATAGTGCACCTTTAACTTGAAATCATTCACTCTTTTTGCTGACAAAGCACTGGCTGTTGAGACTGATCATTTTACCTGTGTGAAAAGGCCAATGGACTCTTTTCATTGAAAGGGCACAGGATGACACAATACTTCCTCTTAGTTTTGGGAAGTGTTAGATTTTGTCAAACACACTATTACAAATTTACTTTAAAAATCAAATGCTTATCATCATAGCTTTCTGTTCAAGTTTCACCCAAACTTCTAAACACATTTCTCTGTCTCACCATAGAGTTTACAGTGCCATGGAGTTTTTACAGATCTCATAATCTCATAGATACTTTTAGGCTACAACACAATGCACCCAAGACCCTCTCCCCCTCCCAACCGCAGCTGTGATGTCACATCCTGTCATGTCTTCTGGTAAATGCTGTGGACCTCTCTTTACAGTAAAAGGCTTACCCACACCCCATTCGACTCTGAGCTTGTACTTTTTAAAGCAGCCCGATTTCTAAGAAAGTGCATCTCTGTGCTTTCCAACAGACAGGGCAGTCCACAGCTCATTGGAAAGCAGAGTAAAAAGGAATTAGTTATAAAAGTAAAAGTTTAATGTTAGAGACACACAATTGTATTAACTGGAGAGAGGGTTTATGAGGCTGGAGCTATTGTATTTAATGTTAATATTTGTGTATTTATGTGAGAACCCTATTCCATCTGGTTGTAAATGCATGTATTATACAATAATAATAATAATAATAATAATAATAATAATAATAATAATAATAATAATAATAATAATATTAAAGTAATAAAAGTGTTTTCTCCTGATACAGGTTCTGCAGCAGTTGCACTTGCAGCTCTGTGACTGTTGCCCACCGCCTCCTGCTCCGGTTTCACACTGAGTCAGCATGATGCAGACTGCAAGAGGAAATAAGGACCTATGGTTATTAGCACACAACAATCATCTCTATTGCTTTCAACAGATGCTATACTCTATACTGATATCAGTAACAATAAAAACATGATCACAATGGAACGTCATGGCTATTTAGTCGACTAAACCCATAGGAGTTTTTGTTAAGCAGAAAATGTTAGTTGCGTTAACCATGATAAAAGTTTTGTATTGTTTCATGGGACATGTAAAGACTTGTTCTTTTAACATTGACTTTCTTAATGGTCTGGTTTGAGGTTCTGTGATTAAGAAGTAGAATTTTTTATTCATTTAGGTTCATCATGACCATCATGTCCGACAGCATGCATTAAAGGCAGTCAAATGTATTAGCCTTCTATATATTTAGAATATTATCTGAAATTTCACTACAAAAGTAACAAACAACAGGAAAAGAAAGAAACAATCTCTGTTTATTTGACTAAAATTATTTATAGGTTTAGACAGGATTTTGTAGAAGAATTCTGTTTAGGTTTTAGCCTAGTTTTGGTCAATAAAAAGGTAATTTTGAAAATCTATGTTTATTTCAATAATGATTTAAAAAGTACATAGCTTCATAGAATCACAAATTCATGTAGAACTAGGTTTAAAGTAGGCCTACATTACAATATATCTCTGCTGACATCTGGTGGACAAACAAAAGAATACATCAATGAAGAAATGGTATGATCCCAATGCCCCATCACTATTTATCCCAAGTACCAATTTTGAGCATCAAATTAAACATATTTTTCACATTTCACATGCGTGCCTTTATATTGTTCAGATTTTTAACAAATAGGGTTTAGTAAGATGGAGCCCCTAAAGGGTTTGGGATTTGTCAGTCCCTTTGCTAGTTATCCCCTTTTCCTCTGTTGTTGTAAATTGTAAACTACTTATTTTCTAGGCCCATTCATGGGTTTCACGCAAATGGTTCCTTCCTGATGTGAAGAATTTTGTATGGACAGTTGCCCATTCAAATTAAATACTTGTAATTTCTTAATTGCTATTAAAAGGAATGTAGTCTGCACTCTTAAAACTGCGATTGCCAGTGCATTCGCCTGCATACAAAAAAGACATAAAAGTAGGCCATGCCTCATGTAAAAGGTCGACCCTCCAGAATTCTCAGTGCCTAGTGCTGGTGCAGCCTCACTCAAAGGCTGCACTAGCACTAGGATTTGGATCTGAGAGAGACATTTTAGGTTTAATCCAAATGGATTTCAGAATTGAAACCCAAATGAGAGATTCATGTGAGGCTTCCTGTGCTTTCTCATTATATTAGATTATAACACAGATAAACGGGACATTATGCACAATGTTTCTGTAATTAAGAATAAATCAACATTAGAATTTGTATCACAAAAAATTAGGCCTATATTCGATTTGTACATGTCTTGTCTCTGGGGACAGATAGGTCGGTTTAATTTAAAATCACAATCTTACATTCAGTTCCTTTAAGTACTATTACCAAAGCTTTAAGGCCACAAACAGAAGTTTACCTTGATATTAATATCTTCTTGCATCTTCTTGGACATTTGTGCCAAGCATAAATAACAGACAGATTGAGTGCGTGAGAAAGACTGTCGCATGATGAAGAGCGACGCTGGAAATAAACTGACCTCTGGCCTGCCAAATCTGACACCATCTGAACACACACACTTTTCCACTTGCCCTGAACCCAAAGACCCAGACCCCAGCTTCAAACTATATTTAATATACAGCACTCTCTCCACCTGGTCACAAAGCCCGAACAAACAACCTTTGTCAGGACGAATTAGGCTATTATGTGGTTCATGGTTGATTTGTTTGTGAAGTGGAATAAATAATTCTAATAGCTCTAATGTTAAATCCTTTCACTACTTCTTGAGGGGGAACTGTCTCCAATTCAGCAGTTGCCATCATTAAGTATGATTAGCCGACCAGTACTAGTAATGATCATTTCTACTCCTTGGACTTTATGTTTAATCGAGTAGGACTGAAAAGTCCACAGAAAGTATCTTTAACAACCTTTAATTTCCACACAAGCATCATAAGGAATATTATTACGCATTTTTCCCAGTTACTACGACGGAGTATAAGGGTCAGATAAAAAAAAACATGCTGGCGCTACGAGAATAAAGTCGTAACATTTTGACATTAAAGTCGTAATATTATGAGAATAAAGTCGAAGCCAGAAAAAGTCGTAATATTACGAGAATATCGGCTGCTCGGAAAGTATGAACGACTGGAGAATGAAGAATTTGGAGCATTTTCTAAAGGAGAAAAATCCGTGTATCATTCGTTCATTCGACTGAACAAGGACTGAATCAGGACTAAATCAAGTCTGGAACCAAACCAGAAAGACCAGGATTGAGACCGGGACCAGACCAGGACTGAAAACGGTTTAATCCTAGTTTAGTCCTGGTTTAAGTCACGGAAATGTGAAATGGCGTCTACGTGACTTTAAAATGCGATGCGGGAATATTGCGCCGCATACGGACTGAACCAAGACTGAACCAGGACTAAACCGTTTTCAGTTCTTGTCTGATCCCGGTCTCAGTCTTGGTCCCTGACTCAGTCCTTGTCTAAGTTCTGGTCTCAGTCCCGGTCTGGTCTCGGACCTCGTTTAGTCCTGGTTTAGTCCTGGTTCAGTCCTGGTTCAGTCCGGAGGCGAAAATAATGAAGAAAATTGTTGTTCGTTTTCTTATTTTTGGTTTTATATTGAAAAACAAGGTTCTTCTTCTGCCGCATTTTTCACTTTGACTTTGATTTTAATACGACTTCATTCTCGTAATATTATAACTTTATTCTCATAATATTACGACTTTATTTTAACTTCGACTTTATTCTCGTAAAATTACGACTTTTTCTGGCTTCGACTTTATTCTCATAATATTACGACTTTAATGTCGAAATGTTACGACTTTATTCTCGTAGCGCCAGCATTTATTTTATTTTTTTATCTGACCCTTATACTCTGTCGTAAGTTACAGAGCAGGAGAGGGGCATTTTCTTTGGGAACAGAATTTGATATCTCACGTCATGAAACGTGCGGGTGCTAGAGACCCCTGGTGGCCCTGCCGTGGACCTTTTACAGTTTGCACATCAGTCTTATGTTACTTTCTCTTTAGCCCAGGCATGTCCAAACTATGGCCCGGGGGCCAAATGCGGCCCTCAGACAAATTTTTCTTGGCCCTCAGACTTCCAGGTGAATTGGGCCAAATTACCTTGTATCAATTAAAAAATATTTTTTTACTGAAAACTTTTTTGAAAATCTACCTTGATAAAGCTCATATTTAATATTTAGTGTGTGGTTTTAAGGATCTTAGCATAAATAAAGACTGATGCCTCATTCTAACATGTTAAACATGCACATATTTCAATTATTCACTGTACTGAGCATCATTCTACAGCCCTTGATCGGCCCTCTGCTTCATCTGTGTTTAGATATGTGGCCCTTGATGAAAAAAGTTTGGACACCTCTGCCTTAGCCCGTTGAAGCGGGCTAAAGAGAAAGTCTGGTTCATTTCGGCTGGCCAAATCCTCAGTTCCCTTCCATTAAAGTTGATTAACCAGAGTTGGTGCTGATTTGTCGTAACAAGCTCCTGGAAACAAACCTGGTCAGGAACAGGTCAGCTGTCAAGATTATTTTATCTTTGTCTCAAAGAAACAGTTTTAGTCAGTTATGTTCCAAACTTGTCACAGTTCACGTTTATGTATTGTTCTGTACAACTCCTCATGTCCAACAGACAGGTGGTAAAATCTGCTCCCTTGATAAGAACAGAATGTTAACAGCTAGCATCCTTATTTTTTATGTCAAAACACACCGAACTTGTGTAGTCTTGGTCTTATTATGCTTTTTAACTGAGAGAAACAGAATGGCCGTTCAAAGTAATGTATTATGGGCCTCAGTGGGGATCCTACACTGATTTTCCTACACTGAGCCCCTCCTGCCCCCGCCCCCCGGCCAAGAAGTGAGAATGGGGGTAAAATATAAAGTGAAGACAGGGACGAGGATCAATTTTTTTTTGCCTGTCCTTCCGTGCCTAGGACCGCCCTGCTTCAGCCTGTTCACATGACGGCTCCATGCATACACACACACTTTGTCACAGAATTATGGCATTTGGTAAATTATACTGACAGGATGGGTAAAATTACTTTCATAGCATTCTTGAGTGAAGAGCAGCATATTATTGGCAAAACAGTCAAGGTTCTGGGTTTGATTCTAACCGGTTTCCACTGGCCAGGCTGGTTTCCCCATCAATACATGCACAAATGGTAAAACGCTCCAGCTATGAAAGTCCTGCCCAGCCTGGAGATGGGTGCTACTCAGGCACAGTACTGTGGCACCCACTACTCCTGACAGGTTGCTACAATTGCTTTGAAGGATGCATGGGACAATAAATTGTAGGCTACTGTACCTTTATCGTAAAGGTCCTACATTATATATTACACAAAATGCATTCCTCTGAGCTTTAAGCCATATTATAATGCTGTTACCTAATCAAAAACATACCCATAGTTGTATTTTGTTTCTTTCACACATGCTTTATTAAACCTGGTTTATTAGTCTGTCTACATCTCCTAAGCTCAAAATGCTCTGGTCCACCTTGTGATGCCATGTAGTTGTAGTTAAGTTAACAGCTACCCTTTGCCTTTAATTAAGTAGAGATTAGAAGCAATCAAGCAATTCTAGGGCTAAAATCATGCAAATCATTCTAGTTAAGGTGTATGGAGTTTAAAAACACAATAGAACAGTTCCTGTATTACCACATGACATCGCAAGGTGAAACTGAGTACTTTCTCTTTGAGAGAACTTTGCCTAAATATGCAAGGTTTGTGTGTTAAACATTTGTGAAGTATACACCGTTGTGAATGCAACAAAACTCCAGGCATGCTTTACAAGAGGAAACATTATAACATAGAAAAAAAAACTAAATATAGGCCCCTCTTTCTCTTATTTCTGCAATGCCTTTAATATACAATCCAGCCCTTTCTGATGAGGGAGAAGCTGCTCAGAATGAGTGTCAGCTCCTCCACTGTCTCCTGCATTACTAACTTGTCTGGCAGGCCCCATCAAGTGCAGCAGGGGAAGCACCATACCTGATCATGATCTATGGTCATGATCAGTAAGATTTTTGCTCCTCAGTGTACAGTCTTGTCTATTCCTGTTCCCTCTATACACCTCTGATTTCCAGTACAGCTTTGGGTCGTGTCATCTGCAGAAGTTCTGAGAACTTTGCAGTGAAGACGGACAGGAGATGGAGTACAGGACATTTATTGCAAATTTTGTGGAGTGCTCCCTGACTCTTGATGATTCACTTCAGAATTAATAGGATGTGGAACCCATCATCCAGGATCAAGAGGTGGAAATAGTGGACTGGTACAAGTACCTGAGAGTCCAAGAGAACAACAGTCAGGACTGGTAATGTTAGAAATGCTGTGTAAAACAGTGGCGTGAGTAGATAATTTTCCAAGAAAATTCTAGTAACTTTATGCATGCAGCAATTTACTAGAGATCTTCCAGCAACAATCTGTGGTGGCCAGCGCCCTTTGTTATTCTACTGTAATGTGTAAGCCACTGTGTCAAAGTAATTTTCCTTGTGGATCAATAAAATTTGTCAGTTACAAACTAAGTAAAACTGAGATGATATGAGCTCAGCAAGAGAACAATACACAAGCCGCCTCTTCGTCCTTCTAAGGTTGAGGGCATTTGATGAGGAACCGCTCTTGATGTTTAATGGGGCAGGGTGCTGGGGCAGCAGTCTGGTGATAAGAACAGCAGGAGACTGCAGAAGCTGGTGAAGAAGTCCAGCTCTGTGAATGGGAGGGCACTGGAGTCAGTCGTATGGTGGTGGAGGGATGCATGGACATCAGCTCCCACCCCCTCTACAGTGTCCTGGCTGCACAGAGGAGCAGCAGTGGCAGACGGCTCCACTCATTCCGGTGTAAGACTGAAAGGTTTAAGAAGTCCTACAGCCTTCAGACTATATAACCTGTTATAACCCCCATCCCTCACCTTGCAGAACTAGCACTTTATGCACATGAACTTTGCATGTCTTGCACAAACTTTTAATGACTATTTATTGCCTTTTATTAATCTTTTAACTCTTTTAGTGTATGATGAAATGTGTGAATTTGAGCTATATGGACACCTCAATTTCCCCTTTTGGGTGGGTGGGTATGTATCTATCTATGTATCTGTCTATGCATCAGTTGCCATGGTGACAGGACTAACATGATAGCATCCAGCATACCACCTGCTGTTACTTTATCTGCCCTGAAACACTGACTCATTCTGCCTCTGGTGAAGCACTTGGTGTCTGTAATGTGGGTCTGTAGGTTAGAGGCTGGCACCACCTGCTCAGGTGAAGCTACAGGGGGTCCACAGCCCTCATCTCATCTGTGTATGGGCCTTTTTGACATTATACACCCAGTGGCCCACTGTGTACCAGCAATCCATGGGTTACATCTTCACAGTATTCAGAGTATTTGCTTGTTTATGCTTAGTCAGCCCTCCTTTCCAAGGAAAAACAAGAACATTGTTTTTATATGTAAGTTACAAGTTAAAACTTCATTCATTGGGCCCCTGATATGTACCTTTCCAGGTAAAAAAAAAAAAAAAAAAAAGAATTAACCAAACCCATTGCTCTTATAAACCTTTCACATCAGCAGCAAGTACCATCAGTGGTTCTGTGTCCACACTGACTAAAATGCAACATGACACACACTATTACATTACAGTGTGGTCAGACAGCGCTTTGTGTTTAGAGAGCACCATTTACTATATGGTAGCCTACTACTACACAGATAATAAAATGATACACATGGATTTAGTGCCCTGAAAACATCCAAATCCAAACCTTAAAAATGCACTTTAAGTATAGCTTTCTCCCTTGAGATGGTACTGATATTGCCTGGAATGTTACACAAAATGGCATAACCTGCAGCTCAGCATACTCAATGGAGCTAGTGACAATAAAAAGCGTGTAATTCTTCAAATGACTGTCATGTTCACAAGAGAAGCAGATGACGGACTATTATTGCGGCGACTCCATCATTAATTTATAATGCATATTTCATTAAAAACTTTTTAATATCCAACAAAAACTTCCTTCTTGAGCACTCACACTCTCTCAAAAGAGCAGCTGACTGGCCCCAGTGAGCCTGCTAGCTAACTCTATAATTAGCAGACCTGTCCATGTAGCTAATCTGACTAAAGCCTAATATGGAAACCATCTGATCCAATTGCAAGGCAGTTTTTCACTATCACAGGAGTCAGTTATTATTATTTTTTTTATCAATTAATCTACTGAGAAAGCGATGCACTGATCTAGATGGCACATGCTGAAATGACAAATGTGAAAATAAATCAGAAACTAGAATAAATTATAAAATCAAAACATGGGGAAATTTGGACATCTGCTGCATCCACTTGAATCCATTCACAGCTGTCTGCACTTTCCAGATCAAAGTGGTGTGATGTATCTTTCTACTCTATGTTGTATCAAGTCATTAGCACATCTAAACCATTAATTCCATGGTCATCCTTTGTAGATGTGCCCATTTTTGTGTTTTTGTATCACTGGGTGCAGGTGCTGCATTTTCGCATCAGCATTTCAGTACAATACAACCAAGCTTTTCTGTGAGAGACCACAATTTCAGTCTGTACAGAATTTACCAAACTATAAAACATACTAGTTGAACAATAAAACAGTTTTATTAATACGATTTTTCACCACAATAAAATTTAACAAAGGCTCACTATAAAAGTGTCAACTTGTGTTCTGTACAGTAGATACAGTACAAAGTAAAAACTGGCGCATTATCCCCCCAAAATTATACATTTGACTTTTCAACATTATGTACAACTAAAATACACAATAAAAACAACTGGCAAATGTCACAAAAATACAGCGCAGCAGCTATGTTTTGTTAAAAAAAAAAAAAAATTAACAAAAATCCTTGGTGATACTAATAGGGCTATAACAAATGAGATGTGCAAACCCATCTGTCTAGCAGTGGGAGAGCAGGCCATCTTACTGCAGCTTTTAAAATACCAAAGCTATTTGTTTCAGTATGACATCATATGGATTCATTGTAAAGAATTGACACATTAATGATTTGCACTTTTCAAAAACAGGTTACGTTTCCTGGTGTGAAAAATCTAGTTAAGCCTACTTCTGGTTTGAGCAGCTAGCTGTGAGCTAGCAGTGTATACTATAGGAATGCACTTTGGTAGTGTCAACCAAATGCCCTTGCTGTTAGGTCACAACAAAATCGCTGTAAAAAAAAAGCTAACTGTAATCTGAGGTACAGACATGAAAATTAACGTTTACATTAATGCTAACAACTAGTAGAGCACTTCTGTAGAGTCAATCAGCAGCTACCGCCAGGTTTAGTGTGGACAGGACAGACATCAGTGCAGCAGCTAGCGCCTTAACGCCAGTGGTCAATTGGCTAGTGTTAGCTAAGCCCTGTCGTCATGTAAATCCACCTCCCATCTCAAAGGGACTAGTGGCGACTTGGCTGATATGTTGTCTATACATTGTGTAGCCATGTGACACAACCTTTCTCAGCACACAACATTAAAAGATGCCACTGTTATTCATGGAAAGGCCTTTCACTTAATTTCCACTTTTAGCTTTGTAAACACTGTGGGTGGCCTTTGTGGTGAGGGGAAAATGTTAACAATTGTCATATAATTCAGGAGGAAAGACGATGAAGATTTTATAGTATGACCAGAATATCAGTATCACTCAAGTCAAACAGTTTTGCATAAAGTGAGCATTATTGGCAATTATTATCATTATGTGCTCACAGAGCGTCTTGGGCCAATCAGATGTTGGACATCAGTCTGCAGTTATTGCCCTACGTACTGGAAAGGTTTTTTAAACTGATATTTAGAATTGTTGGTGTGTAAGAGAAGGTCAAGTGTGCCATGGCGACAAGATACTGAAGGCACAAATTTACAACTCAGCACTCCGATTCACAAAAAAAAAAAATAATAAAAAATGAAAAAGAAACCAATCACTTCCTTAAAAAACATACAAGCAAAAAGAGAAAAGTCCTCCTCCAGAACAGGGCGGAGCTTTCCCTGAGTTGGGTGGAGCAGGTAGTGTTGGTGATGCATCTCCTGACTGCTACATTACATTGTAGTTGGCCGAAGACACTTATCTCCTCTTCATTTTCGATGTGGCAGCATATGACCACACGCATTCAAGTATATACTATGAACTGCACATCATAGTAAATATCTACATTAGATTATTAATAAATATTATCATGTAGCAAATAAATAAAATTGACCCATCCCCAGATCATTATTTTTGACAACTGCTTCATTCATTCTACTTCTCATGAAGTTTCATTCAGGGTTTACATGTTCAGAATAATAATTTACTATGTCTCAGCTCCACTGCTTTTATCTTGAGGTCTTTTTAGGTCCAGCTGATAGAAGCAGGTTCTTTTGTTTTGACTTTAATATCGATTTTGCTGCACAAAATGAAGCTGTGATTTCAGTTTGTCAATATCATGGGAAATCAAGAATCTTTTTTGTGCAGAAGAGGAATTTTAAAAAAGTAAAGTGCCAACACAACCTAATGTGTTCTTTGAACCAAAAACCTTAATGTTAATCATGCTTATGGCTGTGGATATAGTACTACATTTCCATAAAGAAATATGGAAATACCTTCTGATAATTGCTTGTTCAAGGTTTCACCATTTGAAAGTCATGGGCTTCTTTTAACAGCTCCAGCTCCATACTTGCATATGCACTTATGGTATTGTAATGAGTGTTGCTACTTTCAAATATTTGGACATAAAAGCTTGGATTACTTTTACATCCATGTGAAACAAATGCCTTCATTTACATTTAAATATGCTGAATTTGGTTTTACTACAACAATATTACAGAAAACCTTTAAAAAAAATTACAAAAATAACCTAATTATAGATTTATGTAGCATTGTGAGTTTTTCATGGTGTCTTCTCTTTCTAAGACTTAGTGTCACACCATGAAGTTAAAGACTGAGGCTTAGGTTGCCATAAGGCTAACAGTCTGCCATTGCTTAATAGAATAGACAAAATTTTACCAGCTAAGAAAGATGAATTGTGTACCGCATGGTAGCTAGTAAGTCAGCTGACAGGCACAAAGCTACCATGGGGTGTTGTGGCTACCAGTGTACTGGTATCTTTAGATGATGATATTTGAGTAATAAAATGCCAAGCACAGCCTTAAAAGGAACATAAGAGCAAGCGAGGTATGTCTTAAACTCATCCTTTATGCTACATTGTTAAATCTGCTTTGCCTTTACACAAATGTTCAGAGGCACGTGCAGTAGGCAATACTGAACTTAATTTTTCAGTTAATACCTTCATTATTGAATGATATTGTGGTCTGTTTATTGTTACCTGATGAAAGGCAGAAAATCCTTTAGTTGTTTTCAAATTCTAATATCTTGTTAAAAGCTAAAAATTCCTTAAACTATAAGCACCATGTAGTAGTGTCTTGGTGACCTGTAGCTACGCAGAGGTGAGCTGATTGTCAGAGCAGCTCCACAGTTATATCTTTTGCTGCTCATCTTCATCACACCTGATTCAAACTTTTGGTAGCCTGTGTGGACCCCATGGTTTCAGGAATACATATGATTCCTACAAACATTATTTCAAAAAAGTTTCTAAGAATGAACCCCATGAATGCACCCCACCTGAATGCTGTGCAAACCAGAATAAAATGCTCTTTAAAATGACCAGACCAGATTTATTTACTTCAATCTGGTTGCTCATAGCCAATCATAAAAGCAGATCCCACCACAGCAAGTGGGGTGCAATCATTCTCAGCTGACCAGCTTAGGCAAAACAGTCCTTGTTTGGATGTTCCCATTGGCATCTGTAATGGCTGCTAGATTAGTCCTGGTTTTGGAGGATGCAGTTGTGGTAGTGGGTTTGGAGATGGAGGTGATTCCCCCATCAGTGGTTGTTGTCCTTTTGGAAGAAGATGAGGTCTTGTCCACAATGGTAGTACCCCCTGTGGGGGGTTTGGGGAGTCGTCGTCTAAGCCATGGGTGGCGAAGTGCTTGGCTAGGTGTCATCCTGAGAGCAGGATCCCACTCCAAACACTGTTTCAGGAAGTCCAGAAACAGTTGATCATCACAGCCCTTTAATGCTACACTCCAGTCTTTGCTAGCAGGTGGGCCACGCACTTTACCCCGGCGTGAGCGCCCACCATTAAGCACAGCTGTGCCATCAGGCAATGTTGTGACAGTGCAGTACCGTGGGTAGCCTTTGGATGAAACAAAATTCTTGGCCCTTTTAGAGGCATCAAGAAGTTTTTGACTGGGCATACCCAGGAGTTCAATAATGCAGGCCAGCTGATCAGCTTCATCCTCACCTGGCAACAGCGGGTAACCCGTCAGGAGCTCAGCCAGGATACACCCCAGAGACCACATGTCAATTGGCATTCCATACCTAGATCCTGGAAACCAAAAGTCAACATAAATTACTTGCAAATTTTTGCAACAGTATTTCTGGTCATCTCAAATTGTCATGCTTTGGGGGTTTGCAATATTAACTAATAAATAATGCAGATCATAACCATAATTATGAATCCAACACATTCATTTCTGTCCTTGTTTAAAATGTTTCAAAACCATTTAAAGGTGCCCCCTGGTGGCTATATCAGATTCTGTCATCCAGGAGCTCACATGTATCAGCCGGTCTTTGAGATCTGTTTACAGCTAAAAATGTTTCCATTTCATTCCAGGGTTACTATTTTGGACCTCTGTAGATGGGGAAAACTCCCTGGGCAAAAATGAGGTAACTCCACACATTATATGGTGAAAAAATGTTACATCAGAAAAAGTACATTAAGTATTGCAAAGGAGAAATTAAATTCTGTCACCTGGAAAAAATGTTTTTGATCAAGCTGCTTCTTCTTCAGTTCTGAACTAAAGAAGAATCAGCTTGGATGAAAAAATTTTTGTCTAGTTGACAGAACTGAGTTTCTCCCTTGCTATGGATCCACATTATGTTTTGCTTACCTAGAATAACCTCTGGTGCTCTGTAGAATCGAGACTGAATGTAGGTGTAAACTCTCTGATGTTCATAACAACTGGATCCAAAATCTATGACCTGCATAGAAAAATTGTATTAAATTATATTGTATGCTGAATTTGTTGGTAGCATTGTGTCAAAAGTAGCTGTGCCAAGCTAGCCTATAACATGCTTACCTTGATGCCACTTCGTCCTTGCTGCTTGAGGAGTATGTTCTCAGGCTTTAGGTCACAGTGGATGATGCGGTTCTTGTGGAGTGCATCCAGACATTGAAGGATGGAGTGGGCAAACTTTCTGACCAGTGGCAGGCTGAATCCTTGGAACTTATTCTTCTTTATAAGCTCATAAAGGTTCATGCTGAGCAGCTCAAATGTCATACAAATGTGATTTCTGAAGGTAAAATTCTCCAGCATATGTATCACATTCATAGCGGAGTCTTTATCTTGCTTTCTCAAGTGCTCCAAAATGCGTATTTCCTCGGCCGCCTGCCGGTGAAAACGCTTTTCGTTGCGGACCATTTTTAAGGCCACATGGGTCTGTGTTTTGTGATCAAAGGCTTTAACCACCTGCAGAAAGAGTACCATGAAAACCCTTACCATTCATTAACATTTTTTACTGTACAGTGGATGAATTGGGATAAAAAATAAAAAAAAAGCACCTGTCCAAAGCTTCCTTTTCCAATCACTTTCAAAACCTCATAACGGTACGCAATTTGGTCATGTGGAACTTGAATGTATGACCCTTGATCATCATCATATCCTCCATTGTTGGCTCCTCCCATTACTCCTGATCTCTTTTTGGCGTTCGGACCAATGAAAAATACTGAGGACAGAAAACAAAAACTTGTGTTGTATATGCAGACATGCTTTAAATTAGTATGGCAAAAACATTATTAAAACCAATCAAAATGTATTTAAATAACTAACCTTCTGGGTAGCTGAAAATCTCATGGTGTTCAAATGATGACATTTTAGACATAAACTGCTTCATAGCCTGGTCTGGAGTCATAGACAGGGGTTTGAGCTTACTGTCCCCTGATTTATTGGACGTTGCACTACCCAAGCGGTGGTGGAGGGGGTCTGAGCCGGGGGTCTGCCTCTCAGAAGAAGGCAGGCCTGGCCGTGTGGAGCCAACAGGAGCCAGACCATTGGGTTGTGAGGTGAGAACAGGGCGCTTGTTGGAATTCTCCTCATACAGCTGATGATGTGACGGTGGAGAGAGCTGCACAGTGTCTGACATGCTGGCTTTAGTACCCCCCTGAGAAGACATAAACAAAACATGCAACATAGTGAATAAAAGACAATAGCTTTTTTGTGAAAAGATTTTGTTAAATTAAATGTCTAAAATATAGATAAATAAATCATGTTGCGTTTACTCCAGTAAAATATTTCAATAGAGATGGGAACAAATTTCCTTTATCTTTGTTAGTTAATGTAGAAACCACCATCATTCTAGTGAACAATGAGGCATAAGGTGTCAGTTTCTGCATGACAAATGGTGTTTGAGCTCAAAGAGCAGCTGGCTACTCTTAAAGGTTGTTATTACCCATCTGTGTCCTCAGTTACAAACAAAATATGTTTCAAGTATTTGATCTACTGACAATGTTAATCATCATGTAAAACACTTTAGACCATCGCATATGTGTATATATCAAAAAGAGAAAGAGCAGAAATATAGTAATAATACAGTACTTTTGCCCATTTTAAAGTAACCACATGTAAAATGTTGCAGATTTATTCTTAATTACAAAAACATTGGACCACACTGTGTCCTTAACACCAGCCTATAAACCAATCAGCTGTTTATAAGTGACTTGCAGCAGAGTGCTTTTAATAGCCACAGTCAGCCACAGCTGACAAGTTAGAAGGGGGAGCTCCATAAATATTGTGTCAGAAATATAAGAAACCCAGCTGAATTATTTGGCATAAAGTGATCAATCTAAATGCTGACTAAAAATGTCACAGTATAGATGCAGCATTATACCGTCAAAGGGTTGAGGTTGCTGCTGCGTAGAGGAGGCAGGGTGCCGGGGGGAGATGTCTGGGGTCCACTGTGACTGGGAGAGTAGATCGGCTCGCCCACTTTGCCTGACACACAAAAAGGATTTACTTTAACATAAAAATGTAAGGCTTCTTGCTGTTTGTTGGTTTAATTTGAAAAAATATACTGAAAACCATTGATGAATGGGTTTGTCCTGTTCTTACAGAAGTAAAGATATGTTCTAACAACTTCAATGCAATTTAAGTAAAGTATGGATATACAACTGACACATTTAGCACTTACTCCACCTTGACCCTACTATGGACGTCAGAGGTCATGAAAGACACACCACTACCTTGGGACACTTCCTGTGCAATTAATAATTCAATTTCCATACACACAAAACTCTCCATTACAGAGACATGGCGTACCCAAATAAGGAAACTGTAACAAGCAACAGTTCAGTCTGTTTAAAAAGAAACACAGACATTTTAAGGTTAAGGGATAGGAAAATAATCATAATTTTAGTAATTATAAGTAAGACAATAATGATCAACGGTACAATTTAAAAATGTTTAAGTAAAACATTTTAGAGTTCTAGCGTCTTATATATGGTTAAAGCCAGACAGATGGCCACTGCTCATTCCCTCTCTCTTTAATCCCAATTTGCACTAATCCTGCTAATAAGGCTGTGATAAGGCTAACAATAGCACAGACACAAGCTAAATGAGGAAACTCCACAAACATGATAAGACATGAACATACAGAATGAAGCAAGTGCAAGGTGATATAGGTGACATAAAGTGCCAGACTTAAGTCTTTTAACAGTTTATTATAAAATACTAATGAGTCAGTAATTTTATGCAAATGAAAATAGAGCAGTTTTCAACACATTAAGGTAACAAAAACACTTACAATTTAAAGTAGGACTGCACAGAAAAAAAATAAAAATAAATAAATTAGATTTTTCTGACAATGAGATTTATGACTTATGCTAAACAAGTTGGAATCTGTTCAGAATACACATTGTAAACAACTCAAGGATCTTTAAACATTTGAGTAATAGATGGAAAATAACTGATAAACTAATACAAAAATGCCAGGAATTCAACTAAATGTTTTGTAGAGATCTAAACTACAAGTGGATCAAGATTTTCTAAGAGAAAGACATTTTTTCTTTGCAGGTGACATTCTATCATTCATTCTAACTAAATACTGCACTATACATACTATCAAAATCATTGCAATATAGCCTCTGTGATTTGATGAGTGTGCCAACTCAACTTATGATCTCAATTTGAATAATTTAATGCATCTTTATTCTGCTTAAAATCTTAAAATAGCATTCGGTCATATAGCTGGTAGCTGTGTACTGTGCTATGTATTCCCTGTCTGTATCTTCCTTCCACATCAGCTAAGCGGCTCTCGTGGGATCATGATCATAGTGTTCTCTACCTATGCACTACTGGCTCATTATGTCAAAGGAATCTAGCACGAGCAGTACATGTAGTCATTCCCTCAGAGCCTGAATCATGCTTGGAGAGTGGAGCAACCGCAAGCTCAACGTGAACTCGACACCAGGTTGGAAATGCCAGAGTGCCAGCGAGTGCACCCGGCATGCTGCTAGACAGGATGAGTGGGAAAAGGTACCTTAACGTGATCACACATGTGCAGGATGCACAGGAGGGGGGATCATAAGTGAAAAATTACACTAAACTAAGACTCAGCAAATGTTTTTTTTAAAAGATTCCTCCAGGAATTGCACTGTGTTTAAATGGAATTTACATAAAATAACAAGAGTAGTAACACATTGAAGCAATTTTGACTGAAAATGCAATGAATGCTATAAAACGCATGTGGTATTTGTTTACAACTATACCCAAGTGTAGACATTGAGAGACTAATCAATGTTGTTGTTATGGTACAACACCTATCAAAAATTTGAAACAGCATTAACAGAAATAGTCATGATTTAAATGTTTCTAAAAAAAATAGGCAACAAATTTTAATGTTACAGTTCATCTTCTCGTCAGTGTGCAGGACAGAGGTGTCTGTGAATTAACAAAACCAGGAGTTGAAACTGACAGTAAATTATGGTTTACTGTAGCCCTTTGAAAATATCATCACCATTATAAATTGAAAGGCTAAAATATAATTATTACTATTAAACTAAGCATCAGGAGCGGTGCTATTCTCAATGTTTATTGCCTACGGAGGATTGAAAGGTTTAACACTTATGAGATGACAAGAACAACAGTAGATAATGGATTTATAGCACTAAAATGAGTAGCTGACAAAGGTTAAGTCACTGCGTAAGACATGCTAAAGCAGCAGAAACTACAGGACTTGAGACAGAGGCTTTATTTCTGTGTGTTGAGGTGGAGGCCTGAAATTGCCCAGCAACCAAAAACACACGTACACAAGAACCCAACAAAGCAACTCCTGCGCTTACATTATACAGACAAAATAATTCACTCCACTCGGGCAAAAACACAGGCGAGACAAACACGCTTGACAACGATTAAATGCGACATGTGCAGAAATAGACCGCATAAGACGAGAGGGCAGAGTCTGAGGAGCTGTTGTCACTAATCATCTGTTGGTTAGCTGGCTAAAAATAAACCCAACAGCCGGGGAAGGGAACACTTGTACTCCTGCATGTGATCGTATGGATTTCATCTATGCATTTGTCCTACACTTCATTTCCAAATCTTCAAATCATTTTCTGCAAATACTTGGGATATTAAATCTGTACTTTTTTAGTTTACAATGGAAATAAGACAAAATAGCTAGCACAGCCATCAGCACTAGCCAGTTTTCCGTCGACTGTGAGACGGAGAACAGACATTTCCTTGAGATTAAACCACAGCAAGAGGAAAAAGACAAACAGATAAAAGTTTATAACACACTGCCACGGGTCAGGAGGCCAGTGATCGGCTACAGAAGCTGTGCTCACCCGTGTGGAGGACCGAGGCTCCGGGCTTCTTGGTTAACATGGCGGCCGCTCCTCTCCTCTGGACACCGTAAGATAGGACTCCTCCTCTTCCTCCATCCACTGCTCCTCCTCTTCCTCTTGCTGTGCCCTCTTTGGTGTTATTTGATCAAATTATAGTGATAAATAGCAATACTGCCTAATTACTTTGTTTTCCTTAAAAAAGATATACCCTTTCTGGGACATGACTGAACCTTTTAGCCAAAATCCCTCACCTTGTTTTCTGGATCCATCTGTTTCCCCCTTTTTGGACCCCAAAAATGAGTAGTAGTTATTGCAGACTTCATGTCATACCTGTTCCCTTACCTTCGAAATGTTAATTCATTTAAATTTTTATTTTTTATTGAAGCAAAAGCAAACATTTGTACACGATAATATTAAGAGTATTGAGAAAATGCATAATTAAAAAGTGAACTAAAACAGATAGCAAACACCTGTTGTGTATTGCTAAAAGAAAACAAATCAAAACAACTAAGGAACATAAAAGCTAAATGCATCTTCATACAGTAGGTTATTAAAGATTGGCAGGAGGTTATTGATCTTTACAGCAAAAAAGAAAAAAAATAATTGAAAAATAATTGAAAAGGGCATTGAAATATTTCTAATAAAAAAAAAATCCCACATACATACAACATATACAAAAAAAGTATATTTGTTGTTAAAAATTCACATACAGCAGTGGATCAAGCCCCCAGGTTCCAAAATGGCCGTCCATTCAAGTCAATGGGCTGAGCTCAATGGCGCATGATCCATGGCATGATCCCAGCTTAGCCTAGCATGGCTAGGTACTTCCGGTGGCCGTGGGCCGACCGAGCATGCGCAGTAGTGCTCTTTTCTCCCACGGGCACACGCGAATGCATGCGACCACCATGGCGACCACACGCAGGGAGCGCGGGATCGTGTATCACGTGATCGCTTTGACCAATCAGAGCGAGAGGAACTAGAGCGGAGCAGTGCGTAGCCGAAGCTAACGATTATAAAGCGTTTTTTTTAAGACAACTCAAGGATTTTGAGCGAGAAAAAGTTTATGATCTAAAAATAGGTAAAAATCGCCAACAAATCCGATAATTTTGAAAGCTGTAGGTGACCTGTCAGACGAACACGAGCAGTTTGTGATTATATTGCGCTCTATGATAAAAATCTTGTCTCGGCCCACGGGACTTTTTCTGCTGAAGTTCCAGTGAGTGACCACTACGTCAACTGGAGGCAGCTACAAGCTAGCAATACTGTATCCAGTTATTTTAATAGATCCATGCAGTGGATACGGTCTACGGTGGAGAGGCGAGCAATGTTCACGTGGAACTCGTGCGCCGTCTTGTGGTCAGTTTGTAGAATTAAACCTGAACCGACTGGCACGCGGGCGGAAGTCATGACCTTGGAGGAGACAGGTCAGATTCATGAGACAGGTCCAAATCTATGGTCCAGATAAGCTCGACATGGCAGCTGGACGAGGCGAGTTTTATCGAAATCTTTTAAGCGGTTTGTGGAAAACAGACTTCCCACTGCCGCAGAACGTGGGGCGAGGAAAGCCCAGCTCTGATGGAAAAGTGAAACACACAACAGGGCCTCCCACAGCCACAGGTGACATCAGCACTACACTAATTTAGCAGGAAACACACATAACTGAGCTACTATATTCATTAAATGTTTGTTAGCAGCACTGTAGTTGAACCTGAGTACAACAAAAAGCTTCCTAAAAATATTCGGAAACGCCTGCAAACTGAGAGAAACATACTAGAAAGGTAAGCCCAGCATTCCTGTTTCCTTTTTATGACTTAAATGATCAAATTATCTCATTTATTACACGTGACTAACGCTGTGTGTTTTTTTTAAAGACTTCCATATGAGATTTTATTGAAGATTGTTTCTTATCTTGATGCTACCTCCCTGTACTACCTCAGTCATGTAAACAAAGTATTTTGTCATCTGGCAAATGATGAGTAAGTACATTAATTATTTGAGTAACTACATTATTAAGTGAGCATTTGTTATGCTAACTTATTTTCTGAAGATTGTATGCATGCAATATATTATTATTATTATTAAGAGAGTATCATTTTACTTTTAAGTATTAGACAAATGTCAATTATTGCAATATAACCCAGAAGTGCAGAAGTTTATTATTTGGAAGTTTATTATTATTTATTATTAATTTTTTTACATCGTCATTTTAATCAGAGCTTTTTACAGCGATTTCTGTTTCCATATGGTCAGTATTCAAAATTTGCATATAATCAAAACCAATATTAATTTATTTTTTAAATAATCTGCCACCTAACTGTTTAAAGCTTTGGGTAATTTTCTTAACTGTTATCCCCTCAGTCTGCTATGGCAAAAGATTTACATGACACAGTTTGGGGTGACCACACCGTGGTGGATGGACTACTCCAGGCCTAGAGTCGCACCAGGTCGCAGTTCCAATGGTTTTTGGAAACAAAAGTATTTCAAAGCACTTGCTGGGCAAGAGTTCAACCAGTGGAGACACAAGCTTAAAGACATTAACCCATACACTGGTCTACCCAAGCAGACTGAATGGGTGTTGAGGTAACCGCTGTTTAAAGTACATATGATAGGTTAGACTACTCCATTTCATTAAAACCAAGTAAACATGATTATATTTAAGATTCAACAAAAAATCTTGCCTAGTTTGACAATTTTGCTGGTTTGACAGCTACATTAAGGCAGTTCCACCTTAACACCATAACAAATTGATGCACATTAAATTTAGTGTGTAAATACTACTTCCTGTTCCATGTTTATTTTTTTCTTTCCAAACTGCCACTTGACTGGTGTAAAACAAAGATAATACTGATCACAAGTACTATGTTACCAAATTAAGCAATAATTAGAAAAATATGAACACCTGCCATGTGCACTCTAATCCTCATTTAATTATTCTCTAATCTATAGAATAATAACGTAACCATGCTTATTTTACATAGTAATTCAGTAACCTGAAATAAGATGTGCCTTTTTGCTTTTGTAGAAGTCTAAATGTGAGCTGGCATTTAAGAGTTCATGATTATTTGGGCCAAGAGGTCACACTGGAACCAAGCAAAGTCTACTTCTTTGAAACCTCCGTCATTGTCCGATGGAGCAGTGAACGTTTGCCTTTCTTTAACCAGATCAGCTGCCTGGAGCTCCATGGACTGAAGAAGGAGACACACCCTGATAGGAAATATGAGCTGAAGCTTTCTGTCTCAAAGTTATGATGCATTTTATATGTTTGTGTAATTTTGTCTTTTCACAGGCCCCAGTGGCATTCTCTAATGTTGAGGCAGGATAGAATAGACCATCCTCAAATGATTGGCAAAGACAGACTAATCAAAGTACTGTTTATATCACCAGGCTTCATTGTTGGCATCTGGAGGGTAAATTGCACTGTTTTACTTGATTTTGCATTAATTGTCTTAATTATTCTAATCTTCTGTACATGTGTGATATTTTTGCAGGGTCAGAAGGCCATTGCCTTCATCATGTTCTGCCTGCACTTTCACAAGCTGGTAGAACAAAGCCTCTTTGGATTCCCTGTGAAGTAGGTGCAAAAATAAATGACACACACTAGTAGTGACCCCCTACAGTTTAGTCTGCTAACCACAAGCTTCTAAAAGCAAGGGAAATTAAATTTGACAGATAACCCTTTGTTCTGTCAATCATTATATCATCCGTGCACTGTTTTACTTGTGACCTCTTGTGTATAGCTGAGATATATTTTTATTACTTTAATCTATATTTTATTTTATATTTACTTGTATATGTACATTTTTATAATTATGCCATTCTCATTGTTATTATAACATTGTGATGTGTGAGCTGCTGTGTCCTAGTAATTTTCCTTGTGGATCAACAAACTTTGTCTAAGTCTAAATAGTAAATTATAATTGAGATGGAGACTTAGTTATTTCTAATAGTCAGTTATAAGACTGGACCTTTTCAATTAAATTTAGTCTAGTCTAGTGAAATCTATAAAAGGTCCATAGCAAATTTTCAGTCAGAAAAGCAAGTGGTTTGGAGTAGAATTCACATATTGGAGCAGGGAATATGACTTTTTTGCGGGGTAAAGGAAAATGAATAAAAGTCATTTTATTCAGATTTATTTATTTATTTTTTTGTACAATAATAAGCCAAACACTTTTGTTTATGTTTGGAAAATTTATATTGAAGTAGTTATGTCAACAAATGTTATTAACATTATGATTGATCAGTATGAGGAAAAGAAAATAATGGGTATTTTTGTCTTATTATCTAGCCCTACTTTCTTTGAGGATGTCAAAAAGTATTCGATCACATGAACACATAAAATGCTATTGTTTTTTTCTGTTCTAATCTTCTATATATTTGCTTATTTTTGTTGAATACACAGCCCATATTTTGAGCCAACAGTGAGGTGGCCTCAGGACAGGTCTGACCCAAAGTTTGGGCTACATGGGTACAGTCTGCACTTTGTGCTTCACAACACTGGGGCAGAGATCATGTCTGAATACTTTCCTGACATCTTCTGTCGCTCAGGTAATTTTTTGTGTCTTTTTATTAACCCTTTTTGCTTTTTAGCAAAAGTATACTAGTATAAGCTTTTTTTTTTGTAATCATAATGTCTCCTGTTTATAGTTGCAGAAGGTTCCATGGCACTTGGTGTGATTTACAAGAACAACCTTTCTGGTCATCGATCATTGTCGGGGAACATTCGACTTCCGTGGAAAATCAATGAGCTAGAGGGGTCCATAGAGGTACAGTTTATACGCCTATACACCAGAGCGCAACCGTCAGGGACTTCAAGGCCTTCACAGAAGGCCCAAATA